GGGGTTACACACTGTGGGGGGGGGTCCCCGTCCCCAAAAAAGGGGGGATTCCACACCTCGGCACGGTGTCACCCCCCCGGCTGGTCCCTGCAGAGCCGCTTGGGGACACGGATCCGGCGGGAAATGTGCTGAGTTGGCAGCTGAGCCCCCCCAGCCCCCCTCGGGGTGCTCCTGTTGAGGGGGTCTGGAGTGGGGTGGAGGGGGGGGGTCCTGTGCCTTCGTGTTCCCAAAGTGGGGGCTAATCCCCCCCCGGCACATCCCAGATTGGGTTCCGGCAGCGCTGATGCGGATTAACGTCCCTGGCAATTAGGGGGATGTGGGGGGTGCCATGGAGCTGGGAGGGGTCGTGGGGACCCCAATCCCCCCACAGCCTCCCCCAGCCAGGACAGCCCGTGCCCCCTCAGCCCCCGGGGCAGTTCGGGGGTGCAGCTGGGTCTCGGGGGGGGGGGGGGGGGGGTAGGGACACAGCGCATCCCCTCCCGGGATCTGCCGTGGCCCCCCCGGCACAATTCCCTATTTATAGCCGGCTCCTCCCGTGCGCCGGCTATTTCCAGGCGCCAGAGAGAATAGCCTGGATTGGGGGGGGTGAGGGGGGGCCCTGCGGCCCTGCCCTGCCTGGGGTGGGGGGGCTGCATTTGCTCCCGTCACCCCAAAAACCAGGGATGCTCTGTGATTCCCCCCCGCCCCAGCCAGCATCTCCCCACCCCCACCCGCCGAGGAGGGATTTGGGGAGCTGAGGTTGGTTTTGGGGGTGCACGTGGCCCCCAGTTCGTGGCCCCTTCAGGGGGTGTCTCTCTGCAGAGGGGGGGTCCGGCCATGAGCCCCCGCTGGAGCTGCTGCCCCGTGTCCCCCTGCACGCTGCCCTGCCCGCCCCAGGTGAGTGGGGGGCCGGCCACCCGTGCCCCCCCCCCCCAAAACCCGGTGACACCGCCCCAAACCTGGTGACATCCCCCACAGGTGTGCAGGGGGGAGCTGCTGAACGCGAGTGGGTTCAGGTGTGTAAGAGAGAGAGCCCCCCCCCGCCCCGTGCAGGGACAGGTGTGCAAGGACAGGTGTGCAAGGACAGGTGTGCAAGGACAGGTGCTCCAGCCCTGGGGTGCTGCCCCCCACTGCGGATCCCCTCCCGTGTCCCCATTCCGTGGGACACCCCCATTGTGCCCCTCTCTGTCTGGGGGGCCCTGGGCAGCGAGGGGTTAAACTCCCTCACGGGGGGCTCAGGGTGGGCTGTGGCCCCCCTGACCCCAAAGTCCTGCTTTGACACCTCGGGGTTATTTTTAACCCCCCCACCCCGAGCGCTGCCCCCTCCACGGGCTGGGTGCTGACACCCCCCCATTGCACCCCGAGACCCCGCGGGGCCCTTTGGGTACCCCCGGCTGGGGCTGGAGGGTTCGGGGGGGCTGCAGGGGTACCCCAGTGTACCCCCAAAGACCCCCCCGGGAGAGCCAAACCCCGGGGCTGCGCTGGGGGTGCTCGGGATATCCACACCTGCCCCTTCAACACCTCCCAGCCCCTTCCATCATCACCGGGGAGGGGTCCCCATCCCTTTTCCCCCCCGACCCAGCGTGTCCGGCAGGGCCGGAGGGGCCCGAGGGGCCGGGGCCGGAGGCGGGGGTGGACGCGGGGCTGGCGGCGGCGCGGGAGCAGCAGCTGCAGCGGGAGCTGGTGGCCCTGAAGCAGCAGCAGCAGCTCCAGAAGCAGCTGCTCTTCGCCGAGTTCCAGAAGCAGCACGAGCACCTCACCCGCCAGCACCAGGTCCAGCTGCAGAAGCACCTCAAGGTGGGTGGGGGGCACGGCTTTGGAGCCGTTTGGGGGGGGATATTGGGGTTGATGGAGCCGTGGGGTGGGATATTGGGGTGGATGGAGCCGTTTGGGGGGGATATTGGGGTTGATGGAGCCATGGGGGGGGGGACACTGGCAGTGACGGAGCCGTGGGGTGACACTGACGGAGGCTGAGGGAGGGATGGAGCTTTTGGGGGCACACCGGGGGTGACCGTGCCGTGAGCCACGCTGCTCCTGGGGCCGGGGCCGGGGTCCCACGCGGTGCCCCCGCCCCGCAGCAGCAGCAGGAGGCCCTGGCAGCCCGGCGGCAGCAGGAGCTGGAGCAGCAGCGGCAGCGGGAGCGGCAGGAGCTGGAGGCGCAGCGCCTGGAGCAGCTCCAGAGCCTGCGCCCCAAGGAGCGGGGCCGTGACAGTGAGCTGGGGGGGGGCTGCGGTGGGATTTGGGGGTGCAGTGGGCCTGCAGGGTGCTGAGGGGCTGGAGGGAGGGCCGTGCTGCCCCCCTGAACCCCCCCGTGCCCCCAGGCGCCATCGCCAGCACCGAGGTGAAGCTGAAGCTCCAGGAATTCCTGCTCAGCAAGACGAAGGAGCCGGGCCCCGGCCCCCCCAACCATTCCCTCCCCCAGCACCCCAAATGTTGGTAGGTGCCCCCGAGCCCTGCAGGACCCCCCCTGAGGCACCGTGGGGGTGACACGGGGGTCCTAGCGGGGTCTCTGCCACCTTGTCCCCCCTGTCCAGGGCTCACCACACCTCGTTGGACCAGAGTTCCCCCCCCCAGACCGGCAGCCCGGGGACCCCCCCGTCCTACAAGCTCCCCCTCCTCGGCACCTACGACGGCCGGGACGATTTCCCGCTCCGCAAAACCGGTGGGTGAGGGCGGGGAGGGACGTGCCACGCCCGCGGGGGGCGACGGTGGCACTCCGGGTGACACGTCTGCGTCGCCAGCCTCGGAGCCCAACCTGAAGGTGCGCTCGCGGCTGAAGCAGAAGGTGGCCGAGAGGAGGAGCAGCCCCCTGCTGCGGCGCCGCGACGGCTCCGTGCTCAGCGCCTTCCGCAAGCGCCACGTGGAGATCACCGGTGCGCGGGGACACCGGGGACACCGCGGTGGGGGCACCGGGGACACTGTGGTGGGGACACCCAGGGACACTGTGCTGGGGACACCGTGGTGGGAGGACACTGCGGGGACACCCGGGGTGGGGACACCCAGGGACACTGTGGGACACTGGTGGGGACACTGGTGGGGACACTGTGGTGGGGACACTGTGGTGGGGACACCGCGGTGGGGACACCGGGGACACCGCGGTGGGGACATTGTGGGGATACCGTGGTGGGGACACTGTGGTGGGGACACCCAGGGACACTGTGGTGGGGATACCGTGGTGGGACACCTGGGGACGCCGTGATGGGGACACTGTGGGGACGCCGTGGTGGGGACACTGTGGGGACACTGTGGTGGGGACACTGTGGTGGAGACACCATGCTGGTGGCTGTCCTGTCCTGTTCTGTCCACACATATGCTGGTGGCTGTCCTGTCTTGTCCCCACACATGCTAGTGGCTGTCTTGCCCTGTCCTGCCCTGCCCTGTCCTGTCCCCACACGTGCTGGTGGCTGTCCTGCCCTGCCCTGTCCTGTCCTGCCGTGTCCCCCCGGTGCTGATGCCACGTTTGCCGTTTGGTGCCACAGCAGCTCCTGCCCCAGCCCCGTGCCCTGGCCCTGGACGGGGCCCAGCTCAGCCTCTACACGTCCCCGTCGCTGCCCAACCTGTCCCTGGGGCTGCAGGCCACTGTCACCGTCACCAGCGCCCACCTCCCCGTGAGTGGGGGCACGGGGACCCTGGGCTGGGTGGCACTGGGACTTGGCACCCCGTGGTGGGGACATGGGGACACCATGGTGGGTGGCACTGGGGCATGGAACTCCACACAGGGAGCATAAGTGTCCCCCTGGGGACATGGGGACACCGTGGCGGGTGGCACTGGGACATGGAACCCCACAGGGGAGATATGGGCATACAGTGTGGGGTGGCACGGTGGCCTGGCACCCTCCAGCAGGAACGTGGGGACCCCGCAGGGGTGGCACAGGGAGCTGGCACCCCCAGTGTCACCGCTGTCCCCGCAGGTGTCCCCCAAGCTGTCCCCACAGGCAGAGGCCGAGCGGCCAGGGGTGCCCCCGGGGGTGTCCCCGCTGCGCCCCGGGGCCACCCTCACCGGCAAGTTCCTGAGCACGTCCTCGATCCCGGGCTGCCTGCTGGGGGTGGCCCTGGACGGGGACACCCCCGCCGGGTCCCCGTCCCTGCTGCAGCACGTGCTGCTGCTGGAGCAGGCGCGGCAGCAGAGCACGCTCATTGCAGGTGAGCCCGAGTGCCTGCCGCGTGTCCCCGCCGTGTCCCCTCCGTGTCCCCCTGGTCCTCCTTCAGTGTCCCCTCAGTGTCCCCCGATCACTCCCTCCGTGTCCCCTCCGTGTCCCCCTGGTCCTCCCTCAGTGTCCCCATGATCCCTCCTTAGTGTCCCCTCCGTGTCCTCCTGGTCCCTCCTCCGTGTCCACCTCAGAGTCCTCCTCAATGTCCCCTCAGTGTCCCCCCGATCCACCCTCTGTGTCCCCTCAGTGTCCCCCTCTTCTCCCCTCAGCATCCCCCTGGTCCTCCCTTGATGTCCCCCCAATCGCCTCTCAATGTCCCCCCAGTCCCCCCTCTTGTGTCCCCCCCAGTGCCCTGCTGTGACTCACGCCGCCCCCTCCCCAGGTGTACCCCGAGGCGCCGCTGCAGCTCTTCCCCGCGCCCCCCCTGGGGGTCCTGGCTCTGCCCCACCCCGCCCTCGCCCGCACCCAATCGTCCCCGGCCAGCGTCAAACCCCCCCAGCCCGAGGGGCCCCCCAAGCACCTCTTCACCACAGGTACGGCTCTGGGGGGTCGGGGGGTCCCTGTGCCCCGGGGTTCTGTCACGTGGGGGGGCTCCTGTCCCGTGGGAGGTGCCAGGGGTGGCTGTGTCCCCCCGCCCCCGAGGGTCCCGTTCCGTGGCGGGGTTGTGGATGTTCCTCTCCTGTGGGATTCTCTTCTTCCTTGGGGTTCCCAATCCTGTGGGGTGCCCAGGGGTCCCCTGACTCTGTCCCCTGGGGTTCCCAATGTTTTGGAATGTCCTGGGGTCCCTCAGTGCCATGGGATCCCTCTGTCCCCTGGGGTTCCCAATCCTGTGGGGTGCCCAGGGATCCCTCAGTGCCACAGGATCCCTCTGTCCCCTGGGGTTCCCAATGTTTTGGAATGTCCTGGGGTCCCCCTACTCCATAGGATCCCTCTGTCCCCTGGGGTTCCCAGTCTGGAATGTCCCAGGGTCCCTCAGTGCCATAGCATCCCTCTGTCCCCTGGGGTTCCCAATATTTTGGAATGTCCCAGGGTCCCCCTACCCCATAGGATCCCTCTATCCCCTGGGGTTCCCAATGTTTTGGAATGTCCTGGGGTCCCCCTACTCCATAGGATCCCTCTGTCCCCTGGGGTTCCCAGTACCTGGGGGTGCCTGGCGTCCCCCAGTCCCACAGATCCCCTTTGTCTCCCGGGATTCCCCACACCTCGGGGTGCCCGGGGATCCCCATATCCCCTGGCAGCCCCCTTCCCCCGGGGGCTGCCCCTCCCTGGGGGTGTCCCGGGGTGCCAGCCGTGCCAGCTGTGCCGTGCCAGGTGTGGTGTACGACACGTTCATGCTGAAGCACCAGTGCACCTGCGGCAACACCACCATCCACCCCGAGCACGCCGGCCGCATCCAGAGCATCTGGTCCCGGCTGCAGGAGACGGGGCTGCTGGGCAAGTGCGAGGTGAGAGGGGGCTCCCCGTGTCCTGGGGGGGGTCAGGATGGCACGGGGAGCCCCGGGGGGCTCAGCCTGTGCCCCTTCCCAGCGGATCCGGGGCAGGAAGGCGACGCTGGAGGAGATCCAGACGGTGCACTCGGAGCACCACGCGCTGCTCTACGGCACCAGCCCCCTGAACCGCCAGAAACTGGACAGCAAAAAGCTGCTGGGTGGGTGCTGGGGGTCCCCCCGCATGCCTGGGAACCCCCTCTCTGGAGCTGGGGTCACCTTGCTGCCCTGTTCCTTGTGATCCCTCTGTTCCCTGAGGGTCCCCATCCCCTGGGGTGTCCAGGAGAGTCCGTGTCCCCTGGGCGTTCCAGTCCTTGGGGTGTTCAGGAGTCCCATGGGATCCCCCTGTCCTCTGGGGTTCCCAATCCCTTGGGGTGCCCTTTTCCCATGGGATCCCCCTGTCCCCTGGCATTCCCAATCCCTTGGGGTGCCCTTTTCCCATGGGATCCCCCTGTCCCCCGGGGTTCCCCCATCCCTTGGGGTGTCTGGGGTTCCCCCAATCCCATGGGATCCCCCTGTCCCCTGGCGTTCCCCATCCCTTGGGGTGCCTTTTTCCCATGGGATCCCCCTGTCCCCAGGCGTTCCCAATCCCTTGGGGTGCTCAGAGATCCCCTTTTCCCACGGGATCCCCCTGTCCCCTGGCATTCCCAATCCCTTGGGGTGCTCAGAGATCCCCTTTTCCCACGGGATCCCCGTGTCCCCCTGTCCCCATCACGCCTTGACCCCGCAGGTCCCATCACTCCGAAGACGTACACGGTGCTGCCGTGCGGGGGCATCGGGGTGAGTCTGGGGGCAGGGCTGGGGGTGTCCCCGGGGTGGCCGTGCCCCGCTGAGCCCCGGTGTCCCCGCAGGTGGACAGTGACACGGTGTGGAACGAGCTGCACTCGTCCAGCGCGGTGCGCACGGCCGTGGGCTGCCTGCTCGAGCTGGCCTTCAAGGTGGCCGCAGGGGAGGTCAAGGTGAGCCTGTGTCACTGTCACTCTGCCTCCCTGCGGGTGTCCCTCTCTGTCCCGTGAGTGTCCCTTTGTCCCCGTTGTGCCCCAATGCCACACGTGTCTCTGTGTCACACACACATCCCTGTGTCCCACCCGTGTCCCTCTCTGTCCCAGTTGTGTCCCTCTGTCCCAGTTGTGCCCCAGTGCCACACGTGTCTCTGTGTCCCACCCATGTCCCTCTCTGTCCCATGCGTGTCCCTCTGTCCCAATTGTGCCCCAATGCCACGTGTCTCTGTGTCACACATGTCCCTCTGTGTCCCACCCGTGTCCCTCTGTCCCAGTTGTGCCCCAATGCCACACGTGTCTCTGTGTCACACACACATCCTTCTGTGTCCCTCCCTGTCCCGTGTGTGTCCCATCCATGTCCTTCCCTGTCCCGTGAGTGTCCCTCTGTCCTGGTTGTGCCCCAATGCCACATGTCTCTGTGTCACACACACGTCCCTCTGTGTCCCACCCATGTCCCTCTCTGTCCCATGCGTGTCCCTCTGTCCCAATTGTGCCCCAATGCTACACGTGTCTCTGTGTCCCTCTGTGTCCCTCTCTCTCCATTGGGCCCCAATGCCACACGTGTCTGTGTCCCACCTGTGTCCCTCTCTGTCCCACACGTGTCCCTCTGTCCCAATTGTGCCCCAATGCCACACGTGTCTCTGTGTCCCACCCGTGTCCCTCTCTGTCCCCCAGAATGGCTTCGCTGTCATCCGCCCCCCAGGCCACCACGCCGAGGAGTCCACGGCCATGTGAGTACAGGGATGGGGCCGGGACCCCTGCCCAGGCCCACCCCCCGCTCCCAGGGCCACCCTCTCCACTGATGTCCCTTGTCCCTTGTCCTCAGGGGCTTTTGCTTCTTCAACTCGGTGGCCATCTCGGCCAAGCTGCTGCAGCAGCGGCTCAGCGTGGGCAGGATCCTCATCGTGGACTGGGTAAGGGGGGGTCAGGGGGGACCCCACAGGCTTTAGGGCCGGTGTGGGGGGGGTCCCTGACACCCAGGTGTCCCCCACCAGGACATCCACCACGGCAACGGGACCCAGCAGGCCTTTTACAGCGACCCCCACGTGCTCTACATCTCCCTGCACCGCTACGACGACGGCAACTTCTTCCCGGGCAGCGGGGCCCCCGAGGAGGTACCGGGGGGAATTTGGGGGGTGGGGGTCCCCTCCGTGCCCCCCCCTCTGTGGCACGGGGTGGGTCACCTGTGGCTGTGGCCAGGTGGGCAGCGGGCTGGGCGTGGGCTACAACATCAACATCGCCTGGACCGGCGGCGTGGACCCCCCGATCGGGGACGTGGAGTACCTGACAGCCTTCAGGTGGGGGGGCTGCACCTGCGGGGGGGCTCCAGGGTGGGAGGAGGCTCTGCCTTGGGGAGTTCCGGTGGCCTGGGGGGGTTCCTGAGTCCCTGGGGGGGCTCTGTCCTATGGGAGGGGTCCCTGGGACGTGGAGTACCTGACAGCCTTCAGGTGGGGGGGCTGCACCTGCGGGGGGGCTCCAGGGTGGGAGGGGGCTCTGCATCGGGGAGTTCTGGTGTCCTGGGGGGGTTCCTGAGCCCCTGGGGGCGTTCCTGAGTCCCTGGGGGGGCTCTGTCCTATGGTAGGGGTCCCTGTGTCCTGGGGGTCTCTGTGTAGTGGTGGCGGGGGGGCTGTATCAGGGGGTCCTCCGGATGCTGGGAGGGTCCCTGCACACCTTGGGGGGTCCTTCACACCTTCGGGGGTTCCTGCACATCTTGGGGGGATTCTTCACACCTTGGGGGGGTCGCTGCACGCTTTGGGGGGATCCCTGCAGACTTTGGGAGGGTCCCTGCACACCTTGGGGGGTCCCTGCACACCTTGGGGGCTCCCTGCTCCCTGGGGGGCTCCCCAAGTCCTGGGGGGGTGTCCCTGTACCCTGGAGGGTCCCCACATCCTGGGGGGGTGTCCCTGTACCCTGGAGGGTCCCCACATCCTGGGGGGTGTCCCTGCCCTCCCGGGGGGCTCCCCCAGCCCCGGGGGGGTCCCGAGCCGCCGCTGCCCCCAGGACGGTGGTGATGCCCATCGCCAAGGAGTTCTCCCCGGACCTGGTGCTGGTCTCCGCCGGCTTCGACGCCGTCGAGGGCCACCTGTCCCCTCTCGGTGGCTACTCCGTCACCGCCAAGTGTAAGTGGGGTCCGGGGGCATCCCGGGGTGAGGACCCCGGCCCGGCCGCCCCTCACCCCGTGCCCGGTGCCCCCCCAGGTTTCGGGCACCTGACGAAGCAGCTGATGATGCTGGCGGGGGGCCGGGTGGTGCTGGCGCTGGAGGGGGGACACGACCTGACGGCCATCTGCGACGCCTCGGAGGCCTGTGTCACCGCCCTGCTCGGCCTCGAGGTACGGGGGGGACACCCCGAGCCCCCCAGCCCTTCCCCAGGGCCGTGTTGGGGCGCACGCCCCGTGCCGTGCCTCAGTTTCCCCTCGTTGGTTGGTGAGGGGCTCCGGTCCCATCCCTGCCGTGGATTTGGGGGGGCTGGTGGCAGTTTGGGGTGCCTGGTGGCAGTCTAGGGGGGTGGTGGCAGTCTGGGGGGCCTGGGGGCAATCTGGGGGGGCTGGTGGCAGTTTGGGGTGCCTGGTGGCAGTCTAGGGGGGTGGTGGCAGTCTGGGGGGCCTGGGGGCAATCTGGGGGGGCTGGTGGCAGTTTGGGGTGCCTGGTGGCAGTCTAGGGGGGTGGTGGCAGTCTGGGGGGCCTGGGGGCAATCTGGGGGGGCTGGTGGCAGTTTGGGGTGCCTGGTGGCAGTCTAGGGGGGTGGTGGCAGTCTGGGGAGCCTGGTGGCAGTCTGGGGGTGCTGGCGGCAGTCTGGGGTGCTGGTGGCAGTCTGGGGGGGCTGACAGCGTGTCCCCCCCAGCTGGAGCCCCTGGACCCGGCCCTGCTGCAGCAGAAGCCCAACGTGAACGCGGTGGCCACGCTGGAGAAGGTCATCGAGATCCAGAGTGAGGACGGGGCCGCGGGAGCTCCCCGAGGGGTCCCCGGGGACACGGGGGGGACACGGGGGGACACGGGGGGACAGCGGCCGCTCCGTGCCAGCCCCCTGCTGTCCCCGCAGGCCGGCACTGGGGCTCCGTGCGGCGCTTCGCCGCCGCCGTGGGCCGGTCCCTGCTGGAGGCGCAGCGCGGGGACACCGAGGAGGCCGAGACGGTGACAGCCATGGCCCTGCTGTCCGTGGGCGCCGAGCGCGCCGGGACGGAGCCACAGGCCAGGTGGGACACGGGGGACATGGGGGGACAGGGAGGGACACGGGGGGAGTGTGACAATGGGGGACATGGGGGAACATGGCAGGGGTGTGACATTGGGGGACATGGTGGGGCTGAATGGAGCCAGGTATGACACCGGGGGGACACGGCTGGGGGGTGTGACACCAGGGGACAAGGGGGACACAGTGTGGGGTGAATGGAGCCGGGTGTGACACCGGGGGAACACGGTTGGGGGGTGTGACACCAGGGGACAAGGGGGACACGGTGGGGCTGAGTGGAGCCAGGTGTGACACCGGGGGAACACGGTTGGGGGGTGTGACACTGGGGGACACACGGGACCTGAGGGGGTGTGACACTGGGGAATATGGGGGGACAAGGGGGACATGGAGCTGGGTGTGACACTGGGGGGAACACGGGGGACACAAGGGACACGGGGAGGGTATGACACGCGGGGACATTGGAGGGGTGAGTGGAGCCGGGTGTGACACCAGGGGGACATGAGGGGGGTGTGTGACACTGGGGGACACGGGGAAGGGGGGTGAATGGAGCCGGGTGTGACACTGGGGGGAACGTGGGGGACACAGGGGACACGGGGAGGGTGTGGCACTGGGGGACATGGAGAGGATGTGACACTGGGGGACATGGCAGGTGTGACATTGGGGGACATGAATGCAGCCAGGTGTGACACCGGGGGGACACGGGGAGGGTATGACTCGTGGGGACACGGGGGACACAGAGGGTGTGACACTTGGGGACATGGTGAGGGGGTGAATGGAGCAGGGTGTGACACCGGGAGGGACACTGGGGGTGACAGACACTTGTCCCTGCCCTGGCCAGGCCAGCAGAGGAGCCAATGGAGGCCGAGCCCACGCTCTGACCCGCCCAGCTCATCCAGCAAACCAAGGAACACCCGGAAGAGATGAAAAACACACACAAAAAAAAAATCACAGTAAAAGAAAAAAAAAAAAAATCCAAAACACACACAAAAAAAAAAAAAAAAGCGAGCAGGAGAGCTGAGGAGAGAGGGGGGAGGGACAGCGGTGAGACCCCCGTGTCCCCCCGTGTCCCCCCCGTGTCCCCCCGTGTCCGTCGGGTCCTCCCGGCGCTGCCCGGACCCCCCCGGGGCTCCTCGAGGTTTTTTTTTAGGGTTTTTTCCTTATTTTCCCCATATTTTTGTGTCTCTCCCCTCCTCGTTCCCTCCCTGGCTCCGGATCCGTCCCCCCCCGGGGGAGGCGATGGGAAATATTCGTGCCTTTAAGTGAGTATTTTTTTTTTTAATGCCTTAATTTCCCTTCGTTTTGGGTTTTTTCTTAATTTTCTTGGGTTTTTTTTTTTTTCCCCTTTCTTTTTCTATTAAAAAGAGGAGAAAAACACAAAAAAAAAATCCCCCCGCCCGTCCTGTGCCCCCGGCTCCCCGCGGTGTTTGCGGTCGTGTCTCTTGTGCAGCAGCAGTTCCACCAGCACCCCCTGTCCCCCCGTGTCCCCCCGTGTCCCCCCCGTGTCCCCCCGTGTCCGTCGGGTCCTCCCGGCGCTGCCCGGACCCCCCCGGGGCTCCTCGAGGTTTTTTTTTAGGGTTTTTTCCTTATTTTCCCCATATTTTTGTGTCTCTCCCCTCCTCGTTCCCTCCCTGGCTCCGGATCCGTCCCCCCCCGGGGGAGGCGATGGGAAATACTCGTGCCTTTAAGTGAGTATTTTTTTTTTAATGCCTTAATTTCCCTTCGTTTTGGGTTTTTTCTTAATTTTCTTGGGTTTTTTTTTTTTTTCCCCTTCGGCCTCCCCGTTTTGGACGGGGACGTGAGACAAAGGGACGAGCCCTGTCCCCCACCCCCCTGTCACTTTGTCACCCCGGCGCCTTTGTTGGGATCAAATTTATCCTTATAGGAGAGGGAAAAAGAAGAAAAGAAGAAAAAAAATAGAGGAAAAACCACTTTATTTTCCTGTTTTGTCACCAGCCGGAGGGGCCTCAGAGCGATTTTAGCTTTAAAAGAGAGAAAACCACCCAACCCCCCCCCAGAAAAATGGATATAATTTTATTACAGATGGATTATTTAATAGTATTTTTTTAATTGGGGGGGGAGGAGGGGGGGGGGACAGGGACAGCACATCGTGGGTTAAATTATTCCGGGGGGGGGGAATTTGGGGTGGTCCCAAATTAGGACAGAGGGATGAGGTTGTCCTTGTCACCTCTCCTGGGTGAGGAGGGGGGACCGTGCGTGTCCCCAAGGCTGGGGAATGGGATCCCCCTCCCCATCCCAGGAGAGGGATTTGGGGAGGGGAGGAGGGTCTCTGCCCCCAGCCCCCCCCCGGCTTGCTTTGGGCTGGTGTCCCCCCCCCGTGTGTCCCCCGTGTCCCCCGTCCGTCCCCGCTCACGCTCGCTCTGGGTCTCGGTTCGGTATTTTGTAAGATGTCACCGATGTTCGTCCTTGTATAAATAAACTGTTTCTGGCAATACCCGCCGGGCCCGCTGCCTTTGGGGGTGCTGGGGGTGTCCCCGTGTCCCTTTTCCTGGCCCCGTGTCCCTTTTCCTGGCCCCGTGTCCCTTTTCCTGCCCTGTGTCCCCACGTGCCTCAGTTTCCCCAGGCACCGCAAGAGGCGCAGGGAGGGAGCGGGGCGGGTCCCCTTTGTCACCCCCGGGCTCGGGGGGCTCTGTCCCCGCTGTCCCCTCCCCCTGCCCGTGTGTCGTGTGTCCCCCCCACCCCCAGCACTCGGGGCCCGGCTCGGTTCTGGAGCTTTATTTGGTTCCAAACCGGGGTGAGGGGGGGTCCTGGCGGGTCGGGGGGGTCCCGGCGGGTCGGGGGATGGGACAGCTGGGGACAGCGGTGGCAGCTCAGTGTCCCCGGCTGTCCCTGGGCTGTGCTCCCAGACCCGCTGGGCACGGGGCACCCCCGGCTCTGCCCCGGGGGGCACAGACCCCCTACCCGGGGTGAGGAGGGGTCCCTGGGGCAGCTGAGGGTGAGCAGGAACCGGGACAACTGCTCGGTTTGGGGGGAAGGAGGGAGAGTGAACCGGGAACAACAGAAACCCCCCACTCAATTTGGGGGTCCAGGGGAAAGGGAGGGTGAGAGTGAACTGGGAATAGAGCAGAAACCCCCCACTCAATTTGGGGGTCCCTGGGAAAGGGAGGGTGAAGATGAACTGGGAATAGAGCAGAAATCCCCCACCCCACTCAATTTGGGGGTCCTGGGGAAAGGGAGGCTGAGAGTGAACTGGAAACAGAGCAGAAACCCCCCCACTTAATTTGGGGGTCCCTGGGGAAAGGGAGGGTGAGGATGAACTGGGAATAGAGCAGAAACCCCCACTCAATTTGGGGGTCCTGGGGAAAGGGAGGGTGAGGATGAACCAGGACAGGAGCAGGGACCCCTTACTCAGTTTGTGGGTCCCTGTGACAAAAGGAGTGTGAGAATGAACTGGCAACAGAGCAGACACCCCCTACTCAATTTGGGGGTCCCTGCACAGGTGGAGACGAACCGACAGCAGATCCCCCTCACTCCCCACCATTCTGGGGGGGGGTCTAGGGGGTTGCCCGGAGCCTCCGGAGGGTGAGGATGAGCTGGGGCAGGAGGGAGCCCACCAGCACGGGCCCCAGGGCGTAGCGGGCACCCACGTTCAGGTACCACAGGGCCGTGCCGTCGCTCTTGGGCAGCTTGTGCAGCACGTCCAGGGCCAGCAGCCCCAGCGTGGCGCTGCCCAGGGGCGGCTCCAGCCCCGGCGGCTCCTCGGCGGCCCGGCGGCTCGGGGGGTGCCTGGCGGCCAGGGCCAGCCCCAGGGCGCTGCCGCTCACCCGGCACAGCGAGGCCCAGGGTCGCGTCTCCGGTCGCAGCCAGGTTGGATCAGAGCACCGGGAGCTGGCCCGGCGGAGGGACCTGAGGGGACAGCGAGGGGGTCGGGGTGTGTCCCCCCCCAGAAATGGATCTCTGGAGCTGGGCCTGACAGCCCCGGGGGGCACATCCCGGTGGTCGGTCCCAAAAACACTGCAGCAGGTTCCTGGGGGTGCCTCCCTCCAGACTGGAGGGGTGCTCTCCGGGGATACCCCTCCCCGGTGGGCACAGCCCTGGGGTACCCCCTGACACCCCAGAAGGCTGGTCCCTGTGACACCCCTGTCCCCCTGTGACACTCCTTTTCCCATGGGACACCCCTTTTCCCCTTTGACATCCCTGTCCCCCCATGACACCCCTTCCCCCGTGGGACCCCTGACCCCCTGTCCCTCTGTCTCCCTGTCCCTCTGTCCCCGTGTCCCCCTCTCCCCCTGTCCCTGTGTCCCTCTGTCCCTCTGTCCCCGTCCCCCTGTCCCCGGGCTCTCACCAGTCCAGGTCCAGGCCCGCGGCCGTGGCCAGCCCGTGCAGGGCCAGCGCGCTCAGGAGCAGCCCCAGCGCCGTCAGCAGGAAGAAGCGGACCTTGAGGAAATTGGGGGGCCGGCGCTGCAGCCCCCAGCCCAGAGCCATCCCTGGCGGCGGGGACAGGCGGGGTCGGCGCTGGGATGCGCTGGGAAGGGGCTGGAGGGAAGGGGAAGGGGCTGGGGTGCGCCCCTCACCTGCCAGGGAGCCGGTGATCACCTGATGGGGGAAGTGGGCCAGGACGAAGACCCGGGAGAGCCCCATGGCCACCAGCAGCAGGATGTAGAGCAGGAACGGGATCAGCCTCAGCAGCCGGCTGGAAGGGAACGGAGCAGGGAGGGAGCGGGATGGAGGAAAGCACAGCTGAAGGGGGCTACAAAAAAACCCTGGGGGGCATTCAGGGGGTCTCTCCCGAGCTGCCAGAGGAGGGATGTGTCCCCCTGGAGCCGCCCTGCTGGGAGGGGAGGGATCCTAATCACCGTCCATGGGTGCTGCGCACTGAGTGGGGGTCCCACTCCCACCCCCTCTTCCCTCTGGAAGCTGCCAAGGGACTGAGCGGGGGTCCCACTCCCACCCCCTCTTCCCTCTGGAAGCTCCCAAGGGACTGAGCGGGGGTCCCACTCCCACCCCGTCTTCCCACGGGTGCTCTGGAAGCTCCCAAGGGACGGTGTCTCCATCCCGGGACTCCTCCTGCCTGCTCCCCGTGGGTTCTGCCCCACAGGAACGCCCCCACATCCCACCCCCCCGTTCCCACAGAGGCTCAGGGCGCTGCCCCTGCCCGTCCCGGACTCACCTCCGGGTGTACCTGGACAGCGCCTTGCTCAGGGCGGTGACAATCGGCCACAGGGCCGCCCCCAGGATCATGCAGTGGCCCGAGGGGCTCCCTGGGGGATGAAGCACAGAGGGGTCCGCGTCCCGGCAGGGGAGAGCTGGCAATGTCCAGCCCAACCCTTCCCGCTGCTCAGGAATGGCTTTTCCCACCTCCAGCCCAGCGCTCCCACACGGGTGGGGCTCCTGGGGCTCCTCCCCGGGGGTCGCGGGGCTGCCCGAGCTGGGACTCACCTGGTCCGGTCTCGCAGGTGATCGGGAACTGGCGCAGCGGGAGCTGCTCCCGCTCGGACAGCCCCGACTCGTGGATCCACCAGTACGGGCGCTCCCCGAACAGGAACCTGCGGCAGCGACAGCGGGGGGCGTGGGAGAGAGCCCCGGCACCGGGACACGACCCCTGCAGCTCATCCCGAGAGCCCCGGCACCGGGACACGATCCCTGCAGCCCATCCTGGGGGATCCAGGAGAGCAGGATCCCTGCAGCCCATCCTGAGAGCCCAGAGACTGGGACAGGATCCCTGCAGCCCATCCTGAGAGCCTCAGGCCCAGGACACGATCCCTGCAGCCCATCCTGGGGGATCCAGGGGAGCAGGATCCCTGCAGCTCATCCCAGGATTTCCAGCAGAGCAGGATCCCTGCAGCCCATCCTGAGAGCCTCAGGCCCAGGACACGATCCCTGCAGCCCATCCTGGGGGATCCAGGAGAGCAGGATCCCTGCAGCCCATCCCACAACAATCCCATCCCCAGGGTTGAAGCCACAGAGGATCAGGATCCCTGCAGCCCATCCCAGGATTTCCAGCAGAGCAGGATCCCTGCAGCCCATCCCAGGATTTCCAAGGATGAAGCCACAGAGGATCAGGATCCCTTTCCAGCCCCGATGCCTCCCGGGCTTTTCTCTGCCAGGAATTCCTGGCAGATGCTGGGGCAGCTCGGGTGACCCTACAGAATGCCACAGGCAGGGAGTGCCTGCCCAGAATGCCACAGGCAGGGAGCAGGAGTGTCCCAGTGCCCCCCTCCACGTGCCCCCCTCACCACTTGAGCACCACGTTGAGCCACTCGGCCACCAGGGCGATCCAGAGGACCATGAGGGACACGTGCTCGTCCAGGCCGCGGGCCAGCGGGAAGCAGACGGTGTAGATGGAGTTGGGATCCAGCTGGGAGCTCAGGAAGAGCCAGATCTGCTCCAGCCAGGGGGGCCCAGCCTGCAGGGCCACGGCGGCGTGGATCCCGGCCTCGTGCAGGGCATCCATGGCACTGGGCTGGGACACAGCAGGGAGATCAGCCCCGGCACAGATCCCCTGGGATCCCCTGGGGACAGGCTGGGAGGTGGCTGGATCCTGTGAAATCCATTGGGGACAGGCTGGGAGATGGCTGGATCCCCAGGGATCCCCTGGGGACAGGCTGGGAGGTGGCTGGATCCCCAGGAACCCCTTGGGGAGAGGCTGGGAGGTGGCTGGATCCCCAGGAACCCCTTGGGGAGAGGCTGGGAGGTGGCTGGATCCCCAGGAACCCCTTGGGGAGAGGCTGGGAGGTGGCTGGATCCCCAGGAACCCCTTGGGGAGAGGCTGGGAGGTGGCTGGATCCCCAGGAACCCCTTGGGGAGAGGCTGGGAGGTGGCTGGATCCCCAGGAACCCCTTGGGGAGAGGCTGGGAGGTGGCTGGATCCCCTGGGATGCCTTGGCACTGGTTCAGGCAGTCATTCACCACTCGAAGTTCGCCCACAAGTGGCTCCCAGGTTTCTGGCCGAGGGCAGAGCACACCTGAGCCTCTGGGACGGGGCCAGGCCGGGATCCCGGCGGTTGCTCTGGGATTTGCTGGAGCGGCTGAGATGCTCCAAAGAGCCACCACCTCCCTGGGGCTTTCCCTTGGAAACCTCCTGGGTCTCCTGCGGCCATTCTGCACGAGGCCGGGGCTCTCCCTGGGGTCTCCCCGAGCCACCCTTGCTATTCCTTGGCGGTTCCCGGGGGTCTCCCTAAGGCGGCTCCTGGGCCTCCCTGGGGTCCCTCGGGGCCTCCCTGTGCTCTCAGGCCCGAGGCCTCCCTGGGGTCTCCCTACACCAGGGCCGCGGCCTCCCCATTCCCACCAGCAGCCTCTGAGCCTCCCGGTGGCGCTGCCCACCCCCCGGTACCGGCGGGAGGTACCTGAGGGGGGGGCTCCATCCCGGGGACCCCTCAAAACTCCCTCCCGCCGCTCTCAGCGCCCTCTTCCGCCTACACTTCCCATCACTGCCCGCGGGGCGGCGCGCTACGGCGGGGCGGGAGGGACAAACCGCGGCCGGGCAGGGCTCAGCCAATCAGAGCGCTGGGCGGAGCAGATCGGCGGGGCGGAGCACCAATCCCCGCCCTCGCTGCCGTGCGGCCCCGCCCCCGCCGCGCCTGGCCGAGGCGAGCGGAGCCGCGGGCGCTGCGGGCGGACAAGATGGCGGCGCCGGGCGAGTACTTCAGCGTGGGCAGCCAGGTGTCCTGCCGCACCTGCCAGGAGCAGCGCCTCCAGGGCGAGGTCGTCGCCTTCGACTACCCCAGCAAGATGCTGGCGCTCAGTATCCACCCGCCCGCGCCTCGCCGCGCTGGTCCCGGCCCCGGCGCGGCCCGCTCGGGCCTCTGCGGCCCGCCCGATGAGGGGGGGGGAGGCGTGAGGGAGGGAGGGGAAAGGGGGGAAGGAGGGGAGGGGGTGTGAGGGGATCGAGGTGGGCGGCGACAGGGAGGGGTTTGAGGGGTAGCGGGAGACCCCCGGGGGATGGGGGGAGCGGGGAGTCCGCTCGGGAGGGGGGGTGGGGGGGGGTGGGGGGGGGGGGGGGGGGGGGGGGGGGGGGGGGGGGGGGGGGGGGATTGGGGCGCCTTCTAAGCGGGGGAGCGGGGGATTGAGGAGCCCTGCGCTGGGGGGAATGGGGGAGTTGGGGGTCTTGGAATGGGTGAATGGGAGGTGGGGTGTCCTGTAGGGAGATTTTTGGGGGGAGTGAGGAGGTTTGTTCTGGGGGGATTGGGGAGCCTGTGTGAGGGTGAGTGGGGGGTTTGGGAGCCCGTACTGAGGGGAGTGGGGGATGGAGCGACCCTGTATTAGAAAGAGCTTCTGGGGGGGAGTGGGGAGCTCTGTACTGGTTTGAATGGGGGCAGAGAGAGCACCCAGTTTGGGGGAGAATGGGGGGGACTGTGGTGTCCTGGAGGTTTTTTTTTGGGGGGGGTGGGCAGTGAGGAACCCTGTAGTGTGGTGAGTGGGGGTGTGGCATTGACTGTAGGGGCGTTGGGGAGCCTTGTGTTGGGGTGAGTGGGGGCAGTGGGGTGTTCCCGGCCCCCCCCCAGTGTGAGCATACATGGATATGGTTTTGTTTGGAATCTGCAAGGAACGGGAAAAGCTGAGAGCTGTTGGAAAGCAGTGGAGGGTCCCAGGAGAGGGGAGGGAAGGTGAATGCTCAGCTCAGGGTTGGAGTTCTGGGGGAGCCCGGGGGTGGGTTCTGCAGGGAATGAGGAGCTGGGAGAGGGTTTTGTGGATGGAGCTGTGGGAAACACAACAGGAAAAGGCCCCCTGGGATGTGGTTGGAGCCAGGGGAGCTGCCAGGTCCCACTGGAGGCAGCAGCAAAGTCCCAGAGGGTCCAACAGATTGCTCAGTGCTGCTTGTCAGCCCCTCGGGGGGCTGGGCCCTTCCCAAAATCCAGCTGTTCCTGACACAGCTGGGGGGCTCCAGCTCATCCCCCAAAGGGGGGACTGGAATTGCCTGGCTTTCTGCACGCCACTGAAGGGTGTTTTTTAGGGAGGGCTCCACCTGGTGCTCAGGGGGCTGGGAGAGGAACAGGGGCTTCCATGAGGATCTCTTCCAGGGGGAGATGGTGTTGGCATGGAAGAGGCTCTCCATGCTGTGCTCCCTGCTCCATCCATAATCATCATCAATCCATAATCCAACATCCATCCATCCATCCATCATCCATCCATAATCCAACATCCATCATCCATCCATCCATCCATCCATCATCCATTCATCATCCATCCATCCATCCATCCATCCATCCATCCATCCTCATGGGAGCAGAGGAATTGTGCAGGAATCCCTGTCAGCTCTGGAAGGGATTTTTTTAGTGGTGCTGTCTCATTCCCAACAACCAACCTTGTGTGTCCCTCTCCTGGGAACTCCCTCCCTTCCAGAGCAGGGAATGCTCCTGGGGATGCTGCTGCCTGCAGGAGGCAAGAGTTTTGGTGGGAAAAGTACAAATTTGGTGGTGCTGGTTCGGGCCAGTGGTGGTGGTGGGCTGGTGCTGGTGGACCAGGACTGGAAAACTCAGTCTGGAGTTGGGATAGAGCAGGATCAGCACCAACCAGTGCAAAGGGAGATGAGTGAGATGGGATCACTGATGATCCCAACTGGGGACACAGGAGCAGAGGAGCTTCCCACAAACCCAACCTTCTCCTGGTTTGCTCCTGGGCCGTGTCCCACCTACAAAAACCTCTCCCTGGATTTGTTTTCCTTAATCCCCTCCTCCAGAATGCCCCTCTTCCAGTGGCAAGCCCAACCACGCAGACATCCTGCTCGTAAACTTACAGTACGTGTCAGAAGTGGAAATAATCAATGACCGCACGGAAACGCCTCCCCCTTTAGCCTCCCTCAACGTCAGCAAGGTGAGAGAGCCCCTCAGCAGGGATCCCCCAGATTCCTGCAGGGATCCCCCAAAATCCTTCAGTGATCCAGCAGGATTCACCACTGGAGCTGCTCCCAGTGCAGCTTCCCGGAGTTCCATCCTGGATCTGGGGTTTGGTGATTTGGGTCTGGGTTTTGGCAGTTTGGGCTCTGGGTTTTGGCAGTTTGGGGCCTGGATTTTGTTGGGTTTAGTGTGTGGGCTTTTGGCATTTAGGGCCTGGTTTTTGGGTGGTTTTGGAGCCTGGATTTTATGTCTAGATTTTTGGTGTTTGGGGACCTGGATTTTGGTATTTTTGGGGTCTAAGGTGATCTTGTTTTGGGACTTGGATTTTGAGGGGTTTGGAGCCTGGGTTTTGCTAGTTTGGGTCTAGGTGGTGGTGTCTGGGGTCTGGATGCTATTTTGGATCTAGATTTTGGCATTTTGGAGTGCACAGGAAGGGTAAAGGTGAACTCATAAAGGGGAACTCATGGAATTCTGAGGAATTGCTTTACATCCATCCTGGAAAGGGATCACTGCCAAATCCCAGTGATGTGAAAAACAGGGGAGGTGACCCCAAGCCCTCAGTGCTGGGATGAATCCAGGTGTGGGGTGCTCAGTTGTCACCTCCGTGTCCCACAGGGACACCTCTCCCGGGGCACCACCTGGGTGTCCATCCCCTCCTGGGTCCCTTCCCGATGGATTAAAATGTCCAAGGGCTCGGATGACACAGCTGCCACCACGATGTGACACTTGGCTGTCACTGCAGCGAGTGACATGGCTGGGAGCACAGCCCGAGGGGAATCCCCTCAGGAATCCAGTGCTCACTTTGGGGAACCCCTCAGGAATTCCAATGCTCAATTTGGGGAACCCCTCAGGAATCCAGTGCTCACCTTGGGGAACCCCTCAGGAATCCAGTGCTCAATTTGGGGAACCCCTCAGGAATTCCAGTGCTCACTTTGGGGAACCCCTCAGGAATTCCAATGCTCACTTTGGGGAATCCCTCAGGAATTCAATGCTCACCTTGGGGAACCCCTCAGGAATCCAGTGCTCACTTTGGGGAACCCCTCAGGAATCCAGTGCTCACTTTGGGGAACCCCTCAGAAATTCCAGTGCTCACTTTGGGGAACCCCCTCAGGAATCCACTGCTCACTTTGGTCTTCTCCAGCACCCCAGAATTGTGGGTTTGGTGTGTGGGGCAGTGCCAGCTGCAGCTGGGTTGGAAGGGGCTGTGCCAGGGCAGGAGGGCCGTTCTGTGGCTCTGCCCCACATCCCCATGGGGGCTCAGGACTGGGAGGGTGGTGCTGGTACTGGTTGGACTGGGAGAAGGAGCTGTGTGCACATGGGAGTGCTGGCAGCACTCCAGAGAGTTGGGGACTTCTGGGGACACCCCTGTCCCACGGGGCTGGCACTCCCCTGAGGACCTTGGCACAGCCATCCGGTGCCAATCCAGGAAGATTTTGGAGGGATCCCCTTGATCTCCCCAGCCTGCTGGCACCCAGGTGGGATGAGGGGCCACCCTGGCCCTGGGGGACCCTGGCATGGCCCCTGGTGGCCCTGGCATGAACCTCGGTGGCCCCCACGGTCCCTCCTTGGCTGGTGCTGTGAATTCCCAGCCACTGACGAGGTGTGTGCAGGGAACTCCTTGGAGTGCTGGCATCCAGGGGCTGCAGCTGCAGGGCTGAGCCATTTCCTCTTGGGAAATGGGAACATTTCCTCTTGGGGTGGCCAGGGAGGGGGCTGATGAGCCCAGGGATGGATCCCGTGGCAATGCTGGGGTGCTGCTGCTGGCACCTCTCCTGGGGGTTCCAGTCACCTCCTGGTGGCCTCTTGTCAGGGCTGTCCCCAAGTCTGGGTGCAGCAGCTGCTGGAGGAGCATCCCAAGGCCTGGGACAGAGGGGATCCACCCTCAGGCTGGGGAAGGGGGATCTGGTCTGGCTGGGAAGGGGATCTGCTCAGGAGGGACACGGCAGAGGGGATTCCCAGGGCTCTGTCCCACAGCTCCAGCCCGGTGTGGTGGGGGGATTCCACTTCTCCAGCCTTGGGGCAGCCCCCCCGCAGGGGTGAGGGGCTGTGGGACCCCAGGGAAGGCTGGGAAGGGTGTGGGGTGCAGGGAAGTTCCTGTGGAACGTTGTGCCTGCTTTGGAAGCCTGGCTGGTGGTCTTGGAGAGAGCCATTCCCACATGGAATGGGGTGGGTGGCTTGTGAGGGTCCGGGGGGCTCCTGTCCCTGCTGAGGCATTCAGGGAGCACATGGAGACATCCCAGTGCTCCTGCAGTGCCTGCTCCCACCAAGGGGGGCTTGGGATGGCTGGGAGGGGGCCTCCTGTCCCTGAGGGTCCCTAAAGTGTCCCCAGTCAGAGGGAGCTCGGGCTTTCCATCCTCAGAGGGGCTTTGGAAGGGGTGAGACCCCCCTCAGCCAGCAGCAGGAAGCCAGAGCAGCTCTGGGTGTGCTCCCAGGGATGAGGAGGCTGCAGGAGGAGGAAGAGGAGGGATGATGCTGGTGTGGCTCCTCCACTGCGGCAGCTCCAGCCAGGAAAAGGCAGCTGGTCCAAGGCTGCTGCCTCCAGGCTCTGCTTCCTTCTCCTCCCACATCCATGGGATTCAACATGGGGGAGGCCAGGGTCGGGGTTTTCCATCTCTATTCCAGCACCCTGTGTGTAATCACACCTCCCCACACACGGATGCGACTCCCAGATAACCAATTCTGGTTATTTTTTGGGAACAAACCAACTGCTGCAGGCTAAAGTTGCTCCTGCTCCTGCGTGGGGCATTTACTCCCAGCGTGTTGGGTGTTCCAGGCTCCTGTTCCCCATCTCCATCCCAAGTAAACTGAGTAGTGAGGGGGGGGTTTGCACCTAAAATACCAGAATTCATTCAGAAAAGGCCGAAGGGAAGGGGCAGGGGGATGTGAGAAGATGGCACCACCATTCCCAAATCTCTGGGAGGCCCTGGCAGTGGTGAGGGTGCCTCCAGAGGGGAATTCAGGCTGGAATCACAAGGGCAGAGCCGTGTCTGGGGGGTCCCTGTGTCCCCTCTGCTCCCAGCCCAATCCCCCCATCCCTGTGTTTCCCCAGCTTGCCAACAAAGCACGGACGGAGAAGGAGGAGAAGATGAGCCAGGCGTATGCAATTAGTGCTGGTGTCTCTCTGGAGGGGCAGCAGCTCTTCCAGACCATCCATAAGACGTGAGTGCCCACCTCGGGGTCCCCAATGCCCACCTTGGGGTCCCCAGTGCCCACCTCGGGGTCCCCACCCTCCTTTTTGGGGACCCTCACAGCATTTTCGGGGCATTTCCCTCTCTGGCTTTGCTCTGCTGTGTCCTGGGTGGGATCCTTGGTGGGGAGGGGGGCTCCCTGCCTGCTCCTGCTCCGTGCCCTGCCTGGCACATCCCACCCCCCTGGACTCCCACCCCTCTGGGTGACCCTGGAGTGACCAGGGGGGGCTCTTTGCCCCCTCAGTGAGACACAAACCCACCCTGGGGGGGCAGCAGTGGCGTTCCCTGATGCCGTTGTCCCTCCCCTCAGCATTAAAGACTGTAAATGGCAGGAGAAGAACATAGTTGTGATGGAAGAAGTCGTCATTGCCCCTCCCTACCAGGTGGAAAACTGCAAAGGCAAAGAGGGGAGCGCCCTGAGCCACGTACGCAAAATAGTGAGTGTGGGCTGGGGACAGGGCAGGGTGGCACGTCCTGGCAGGGTGGCACGTGCTGGGCACAGCCAGGAGCCCCTCCTTGGCTGGGCTCCAGCCCCTCCTGGCATCCCCTTCCCTCTCCAGACCCCCCTGCCTCCCGTTTTTCAGTCCTGTGTTCAGAAGGGTGAGCAGGGCTGGGGATACTGAAGGACTGGGTGGGTGTCACCTCCCTGGGGACACCTGAGACCCGTCCTGGCTTGGCCTCCAGCCCCTCCTGGGGTTCTCCAGCCCCTCCTGGGGTTCTCCATCCCCTCCTGGGGGTTCTCCATCCCCTCCTGGTGTTCCCCAACCCCTTCTGGTGTTCCCCAGCCCCTCCTGGGGGTTCTCCATCCCCTCCGGGGGTTCTCCATCTCCTCCTGGTGTTCCCCATCTCCTCCTGGGGTGTTCCCCATCCCCTCCTGGGGGTTCTCCATCCCCTCCGGGGTCTCCCCATCCCCTCCTGGTGTTCCCCATCCCCTCCTGGGTCTCCCCATCCCCTCCTGGGTCTCCCCATCCCCTCCAGGTCACCGTTCCTTCCCTGAGCCCCTGGGTGCCCCCTTCCCCTGCAGGTGGAGAAACATTTCCGGGACGTGGAAAGCCAGAAGGTCCTGCAGCGTTCACAAGCACAGCAGACACAGAAGGACACGTCCCTGTCATCCTGAGGCCACCTCGAGGCCACCGCCCTGTCCCCGTGTCCCCTCCCCGGAGGCGGCGCCGGGGGCACCTTCGACTTTTATTTCCTTTTTTTTTTTTTTTTTTTTTTTTTTTTTTTTTTTTTTGGTAT